CTATAAGTTTCTCTCTTACGGCTTTTTTCTGCATTCTATAAGTTTTGGTATGTTTTGTTTTCATTTTCTATTTGTCTCAAGATATATTCTAATTACCCTTGTGCTTTCTTTTTTGACCTATTTGTTTGAGTGTGTTGTTTAATTTACAAAAACTTGTAAAATTTTCAGTTTTTGTTGTTGATTTTTAGTTTCATTTCATTGTGTTGGGAAAATACACTTTGTATGATTTCAGTTTTTTTTAACTTACTAAGACTGGTTTCTTTTATTTATTTCTGAAAAGTATTCTGTGTGCACTAGAGAAAAATGTTTATTCTGCTGTTGTTGGATTCAGTGTTTTGTCTGTCTGTTAGGTTCAATTAGTTTATAATGTTGTTTAAATCTTCTGTTTCCTTACTTACCTTCTGTCTGGTTGTTTTATTCATTATTGAAATTAGAGTATCAAAGTATCTATTATTGTAGAACTGTCTATTTCTCCCTTCAATTCTATTAATGTTTGCTTCACATATTTTGTGTTTCTGATGTTTGGTGTACATATCTTTATAATTGTTATGTCTTCTTGGTGAATTGACCCATTTATCAATATATAAAATCCTTCTTTGTCTCTCATCACAGTTTTTGGCTTAAGTCTATTTTCTTTTTTTCTTTCTTTGTCCAGGGGAGGCTTCCTTCCTTCCTTCCTTCCTTCCTTCCTTCCTTCCTTCCTTCCTTCCATCCATCCATCCATCCATCCATCTTGGGGTCCGAGTGTACACCAGGACACAGATGCCCTTAAAGTCAGGGCAGATCAGTCCCATACCTCTTTCGTTCCTTTCTTGTTTCTGTCCTGGGAGCCTGAGGGGATGGCAGTACAGTGGCACCCTTATTGGCGGGGCAGACCATATGGGCCTTAGGGTAATTCTTTTTTTCTTCCTTTCTTTATTTTCTGTCATTCTCTCTCTCTCTCTCTTTCTGTCTTTCATAATTTCTTTCTGTCTGTCTTACTTTTTTCTTCCATTCTTTCTTTCTTCCTTTCTTCCTTTTTCTTTCTTTGTGGCCTTGAGGAGTCCAGGAGAAGGGCGCCCTTTGTGTCAGGACAAACCAGTCCAGGCCAGGGTATCTCTTAGAGGGAGGCCTGGCCAGGCCAAGGGTCTCTTGAGAGGCAGACCAGGCTAGGCCAAGGGAACCATACAGTGGGCTCTTTCTTTCTTTTGGTTAGTGTCTGCATGGAATTTCCTTTTCCAGCCTTTTACTTTCAACCTATGTGTGTCCTTAGGTCTAAAGTGAATCTATTATAGATAGCATGTCATTGAGCATGTCTTTTTATTCATTGTGATGATCTATGCTTTAGTTGGGGGGGGTTAATCAATTTACATGTAAATACTAATAAGGAATAACTAACTTGCCATTTTGTTATCTATTTTCTGTATGTAGCTGTTTTGTCCCTCCTTTTCTCTATTACTGCCTTCTTTTCTGTTTGATTTTTTATATTAATACATTTTGATTTCCTTATTTCTTCTTTTTTTTGGTATATTCTATAGATATTTTCTTTGAGTTTTATCATAGGGATTATATGTAACATCCTAAAGTTATTACAATCTAATTTTTTATGCCAGTTTAACTCCAATTAATTGAAAAACTACCCCTATACTTCCATGCTCCCCCTTCTTTGTTACTGATGTCACAGATTGCATTGTTACACATTGTGTACCCCTTAATAGATTTATAATTTGTTTTTTATACATTTGCCATTTAAATCTTAGAGAAAATACAAGGTGGAGTTACAAACCAAAATTACAATAATAATGGTTTTTATTTTTACCTATGCATTTACCTTTATCAGAGATGTTTATATCTTCATATTGCTCTGAGTTACTGTCTAGGGTCCTTTCATTTCAACCTGTAGGACTCTTTTTAGCATTTTTGGTAAGATATGTGTAGTGGTAATAAACTTTCTCAGCTTTAGTTTATCTGGGAATGTCTTTATTTCTACATCATTTTTTTATGGACAGTTCTGCCAGATGTAGAATTCTCATTTGACAGTTATTTTCTTCTAGCACTTTAAATGTATGATCCCATTGTCTTGTGGTGTCCAAGGTTTCTGCTGAAAAATTGGCTTATAATCTTGAGCATTCCTTTTATGTGATCAGTTGCTTTTCATTTGCTGCTTTCAAGGTTCTTTGTCTTGGCTTTTGACAGTTTGATTAAAATATGTCTTGGTGTTGGTTATGGATTTTTCTTACCAGGAGTTTTGTTGACATTCTTGGATTTATAGATTCATCATTTTCATCACATTTGGGAAGTTTCAGTCACTGTTTCTTCAAATAATTTTTGTGTCCTTTTCTCTCCTCTTTCTGAAACTCCCATAGTGTATATATTGGTGTAACTGATGGTGTTTCATAGTCTCTTAGGCTATGTTCATTCTTTTTTCTCTCTGCTCAGATTTGATAATTTCAATTATCTTTTCCTCAAGTTTGCTGATTCTTTCTTCTGCCTACTCAGTTCTGCTTTTGAACCTTTTCTAGTGAGCTTTTCAACTTAGTTATTGTATATTTTTAGCTCCAGAATTTCTGATTTGATCCTTTTTATAACTTTTATCTCTTTGTTGATATTCTCACTTTGTTCATTTGTTTTCCTGATTTTCTTTTGTTCTTTGTCCATTTTTTTAAAAAGATCTTTGAATGTGTTTAACATAGTTGTTTTAAAGTCTTTGTCTAATATGTCAAATATCTTTGCTTCTTCAGGGATGGTTTGTGGAAATTTGTTCCTTTGAATGGACCATGTTTTCCTGTATCCTTGCATGCCTTGTGATTTTTTTGTTGAAATTTCTGCATTTGAAAAAGTCACCTCTTCAAGTCTTTGTAGACTGGCTAAGTGCTGGGATAGTCCTCTGCTGATTAGCTGGGCATGCCCCAAGCCTAGAGATCAACCCAAGGTTAAAGCTTAAAGTCTTCTCAGGACTTTTCTGAGCATACTTGTTGCCTGGGCCTGTGTGTGGCTTTCTTAATTTTCCCTGTATACATGGCTGCTTTTGAATGTCTTCATTTCCCAGAGTCTCATCCCAGCCTCTCCTGGATCCTTAGATGGTCTGATGTGTCTGTTCATCATAATCTTTTGTTACAGTCATCTGCAGATTTGTAATCCCCCTGCAGTTTTCATAAAATGTGCCCACTGCTTCTCCAACATGAGACTTAAGTTAGGCAAGACAGGAACCAGTCCTTCTGGCAGACTCACAGAGGCTAAAATATTGCAAGTAAGGTCTGCTCTCTTTCCTTCTGTTTGAGGGAAGGAATTGGGATCTGAGCTGCTTTCTTCTTGAGACCCAGACAACCGTGGAAGGGGTAGGGCAAGAGCACAGAAAATGCCACCAAGTTTTTTCATGTGGCTTTTCTTGACTGGGCATTTGCTTTGTGGCTGTAAACCTTTGACTGTTTTTTTACAGCTCCTCTAAGGTTAATCCACTGATTTCAGACTGACTTTGATGTTATGTGAGGGAATGAGGGCATGGAGTTTTTTAATTTGCCATTTTGTTGATGCCACTCAAGAATGCTTTTTAAATTATGAATCAATAGAATCTTACTGAAGGAAATTTAGAGCACACAGAAATGTAGAAAGCTAAGGAAAAAGAAAAATCTCAACCACACTTCTGCCACCCCAGAATAGCCACTATCTACATTTTGGTGTGTCACCTTTCAGGCTTTTATTTTTCTTCATCTCTCTTTTCCCTTTGTCCTGCTTCCTCTTGTTCTCCCATTCCCCCAATAAAAAGGGAAAATAAATGTATAAAAAATAAAATCTAAATATAATTTTAGTCAGTACAGTGTCAATTTTATTTATTTTTTATTTTTAACTTCCTAAAATATTTTTGTAAGTACTTAAATTTCCATTTATGTTTCTAAAAGAAAATATTGTAGTTGTTTTTGATAACAACAAAATGCTTGGGTTTTATTCTAGTTTTTCTTCTCTTATTCATGGTATAAGAGTTAGGAAAGAAGCAGGTGTGGACAGCCTAAAAGTTACTTTCCTGTGACTTAGACATTTTTGATATTTTTACATCTAGTAAAAAATGGCATCCCCTCAGTCAGAGGGACAGGCCCAGACCACCTAGAAAGGATCTTACCTCTTTTGAGAGCTAATATAAAAAGAACTCAGCCTGAACATATAAATATTGTGACATCAGTTATTTAGGCTTAAAAGTTACTATTGTGCAAAGTGAATTGTGAATAGTAAATACTTTAACCCTGTGCCGTATTAATTAATTATCATAATATAATTTTTAATTTATTTTAACCTTGTGTTAAAGTGTACCTTGAAGCCATTTGTATTTTGTTTAAAAACTAACTGTACACTTGGTGCTGTGTTCTAGACTAGATATAGAGGGCCAAAGAAGAATATATGATCAGAATTGATATCATACCTAAGCTTCCTCCATTCCTATCTCCTACTTCAAATAGAAGCAGTATAAAAATTAATTATATAAGATTTTTGGGAGTCTGGTTTATGGATAAGGTGACCTTATACTTAAGCTGATTAGTAAATGGGTGAGTAAATTAAAAAGTATTTTTTGTGACTTAGAGTTTTATGCTGAGGTGCAGTGTAATTAATTTTTCTTCTTTGTATCGGCAGATTTCTACTTTATATAACTGCATGATTTCTTGCTTTGGTTACTCATTAATGTCTATAATAAAGATTCATGCTTTTGCTTTTTGTTTAACTGAAACAGTAATATATAATCTATTAAAAATGTAGATTATTGTGTTAAATACCTCACTTTTAAAGAACCACAGATGGTAAAATTATAAAGCTGAAAAAATTCCTTGGAAATGTGAGTCTAATTTGGTAGATAAGAAATTGAGGACAGAATACTTATTCTAGTAGGGAATCTTTGTAACATATTTCTAATGTCACTTCCCTGTCTCAGCAAGAAGTACTTGCATAAAGGAAGTTTGATTATAACATTGGTTGAATGTTTAAAGTGGGTAATGTGGCTGAATTTAACAGATTTTTCCCCCCATTTCTTTTAGGTGAGTCTGGACTGGGAAAGTCAACATTAATCAACTCATTATTCCTCACAGATTTGTATTCTCCAGAGTATCCAGGTCCTTCCCATAGAATAAAAAAGACTGTACAGGTATGTATATTGTAGTATTGTTAATTGGTGATAAGCTGGAATAATGTAACTACACACAAAAGACATGTTGTTACTTTTAGCATGCTTGCCTGGAGGTAGGATGCAAATTTGGCCTTAGCCAATATAAAGTGGTAAAGAAGACTTCATAAAATTGAAAACAGGGGAGCTGATCAGAGGAATTATCTTGACTAGAACCTTCCAAATTTGTCCAGAGGACCCTCCTAGAGATGACACTGCGACATAGTAAATAGTACCCCACAGTTTTGCTGTCCAGTATGGTAGCCAAATGCCACATGTGTCTAATTAAGTCTAAATCAAAATTAAATTAAAAATTTTCTCAATCTCAGCAGACACATTTCAAGTGCTTAATAGCCACATGTGGAAGTGGCTACCATTTTGGGCAGCATATAAGTAGAATATTTCCACCACTGCAGAAAGTTCTGTTGGACAGCATTGAGAAAATATGATTTATAGAAAATCTATTGTTATTTAAACATAGTTTTCTGTATTAGTGGGATGACACTGTGATAGTTGAATGGCAATAGCAATTTTGTAAGACTTCTAAGCTATGTGTGGTCTAATTTAGTACTTCTCATTCTTTAATATACATTCAGATCAACTGGAGATCTTGTTAAATTAAGTTCCTGTTCTAGTAGTCTTGAGGTGGGCTGAGTTTCTGCATTTCTAACAAGATCCCAGGTGGTGCTGATGCTGCTATCTGGTGGATCATACTTTATATAGCAAAAGGCTAGACTCTAGGCTCTAGATGTGCAAGCAGCCTGTAGCCACATGTGGCTATTGAGCTTTTGAAATGTGGGTTGTCCAAATTGAGATGTTCTGCAATATAAAATACACCCCACATTTTGAAAACAGAATGTAATCTATCTCATTAATTACTTTTTATATTGATTATATGTTGCAGTGATAATATTTTGTATATATTTAGCTAAATTTCACCCTTTTATTTTTTAATGTGACTGCTAAAAAATTTAGAATTACTTATGTGGCTCACATCATGTTTTTGTCTGGCAGCATTGCTCTAAACTTTTGATTGGAAAAATTATTGGTGGACTGATGCAGTAATACACAGCTCATGAAAGAGAAAGGAGGGAAGTGAACAGTTCTGGCTGGAGTAGGCTTTTCATTGAGGCAGTTATGCTTAAAGTTGGATTTGAAGGAGTGATAGTGATTATACCAGTGCACAGGATGGAAGGACAGACTGGATAGTATGGGCAGAAACTTACATGTATTGAACTGCAAGATGTAGTTTAGTAGTTAGATCCCTAAGGAGTAATTTTGTGAAGTGAATATCTTATTTCTCTTATTAAAGTTATTCTTTAATTTTAGGATAGGTTTTTGTTTTTGTTTTCGTTTTTTTTGTAACCTTCATAGAACTTGAGATTTAAAATTACCTTCAAAAATGTCATCTAAAAACTTGATCCTACATGGCTTATTTATTTTGTCATCAGTATTGGAAATTTTAATCCTGAGGAAGAAGATAAACTTTTAACTTTTTAAATTTGGGTGTTTAAACTCAAGATCAGTAAACTTGGTATGTAGAAATTTTAAATGAACTCCACAGTGTAGAGATCTAAGTTCATAAATATTTCGTGTAAAAAAAATCTGTTAGCTATTAACTGTCATGTGCCTACCAGTAGTGTTCTTGGTGATTATTTTTGGTGAGGAAATTATTCTGAGTATTCTTTGTTGTTCTAGTACATAACATAATGCCAGGCCTACGTTAATAATAAAACTTAACACTTAGTGTTAACACTGTCATCTTCCAGGTACTATTCTGAGCACTTTAGATGTGTTAACTTACTTGATTCTTACAACTTTATAACTTAGGCAGTATTATTATCCTGATTTTACAATAGAGAAATTGAGGCACAGAGATGGTGATATGCCTGAGATCACGTAGTTGGTGAGTGGCAGAGATATGATTCAAATGCAAGCAGTCTGGTATAGTCTGTACTCTGTCAAACTATATTATCTCTGTACTGTAGATACATAACAAATGTTAGTTGAGTGGATTAGCCATTTCTTAACAAGTGTATTAGCTTTTGTTTACTATATCTTCCCCCTTTCAGGTAATGTTTGGTCCAGCAAATTGTTAATTTTCTTTTGGTTTATTTTGCATTTTTCTTTTCATAGTGAGATAGTTCTCCCAATTAGGCAGTGTAGACAAAATGAAGGCAAAATGATTTGATCAGTGAAGCCGTCTCTTTACTATAGATATATGATATGAAGGTATTTGAAAAAGTTCATGGAAAGATTCATATTTTTCCACAAATTCAATTTTTCCACAAATTTTTTGATGTACTTTTGTATGTGAAGGTTGTTAAAATAACATAGAAAATACCTATATAGACCCTATGATCTGTCTGATACTAGCTAGTAAGAGATACTTAAAAGTATTTTTTTTTTTCGTTTTATTTATTTATTTGGCAGCTGGCCAATAGGGGATCCAAACCGTTGACTTTGATGTTATCAACACCACATTCTAACCAAGTGAGCTAACAGGCCAGCCCTATTTTTAAAATCTCAAATGGTGTTTGCTGTGGCTTATTTGGTTTGGATTTGCAAGCTGGACTCAGGGAGGTATTGAATTCCCTTTAGGTATTAGTTGTGATAAACTCCTAGGTAGGTGATGGAAGCCATTGCGCTCATGTAAGTTTTGTACCTTACCATGTTTTATTTTATTTATTTATTTATTTTGTAGCTGGCTGGTATGTGGATCAGAACCTGTGACCTTGTTGTCACCATTTATTTTAAACAAAAACAATAGAACTATATTTTTAGCTCTTTCGATTTACCCATGCAGGAGTTTTGCCAGTGTTTAAACAGATAAAAGCATTGGCATATGTAGTCTCAGGACTTAAGCACAAAGACATCTAGTTTGATATGCTTTGCAACAAAATATTTATTCAGACAATGAGAGATTGCTTGTAATGTGGTTATAACTGTGCTTATTCTGTCATGGTCCACATATTGCAAAAAAGTCTATTAAATAGGATTTATATAAAACTGTCATTGCTGATTCTTCACATTGTGAGATTGTGAATATTTTTTACTTTTTATTATATCTTCTCAGTTTTATAGTGCACATGCTTTTATAATCAGAAAAATGCCTTTCAGGGAAAAAGGCACAAATTTAAGTGTAGAGTTTTATGAATTTTTACATATGTATACATATATCCAGGTAACCACCATCCATATCAAGATATGCTGTAGTGCATTTCCAGCACCCCAGAAGGATGCTTTGTGCTTCCTCTCATTCAATATTACACCCCCGCCAAAAGATAAACACCTCACTGACTTCTATTTCCGTAGATAAATTTTGTCTGTTCTTGAACTTCATACAGATATACTCTATACTTTTGTATATGCTTTCTTTTAATGAAGGTTATGTTTGTTATTTATGTTGGGCGTAGTTGTAGTTCTTTTTCATTGCTATATAATATTCTACTGTCTGAATATATTACATTATATCCCTCCTATTTTAGATAAGCATTTGGATTTTCAGTTTTTTACTAATATGAATATTCTTGTACATGTCTTTTTGTGGACATAGGAACTCACTGCTGTTGTGTGTGTATGTGCATAAAGATATAAAGACATTTCATTGCTTCCCTTTATTTTCTGTGATCTCTAGTGAGATTGAACATGTCTTTATACTAAGATTTGTCCAGATTTCATTGAAGCGCTTTGATCATTTAAATATTTCCTGTCTTTTTCTCCTTGATATGCAGAAATCCCTGCTCTAAATAGTAATCTCTGACATTTTAGACATTGCAGATAACTTCTCCCAGGCTAGCATGTTAAAGAAGATGTGACAAGCCCTTAATTTATTAGAATTATTTTTACATTGGCCTAGTTTCCAAATAAATTTTCTAGAATCATTTTACATTCCTTTAAAGTTATCCTCAAAAGCATCCTCTTCTATTGTGAATATCTTCCTGACTCTCCCTATCTTGAGAACAAAGTAGTAATGGGGGCTGAGTATCCCCAATAAGATTTTTAAGACAAAGGACTGTTAAATCTCCCATTTTTGCCAAAAGTAAGACCTATAACATCTGAGAACCCAATTGATACTGACTAGAATTCCAAAGAAGTCCTCTTTCCTGACCGAACCTTACAGATATTCCTTTATCTACTGTAAACACGTTGAAGATCATCTAAACTGTTTTGCACATTTACCCAGGAAAGAACATGACATATAATCGGCATGGCCAGAATCATTCAAGAGGTCTGAACGTAGTTAGAAAATATAATGTAATCATCTTTTACAGTTAGTATGGATCCTCACCAAACCCAGTAGTCTAGCTGGTGATCTGCCTTGGAAGCTCATAAGTTCTCTCAGACAAGGGTCACCATTATTATATCTCAGCCCAGACATATTAGACTGGTAAAAGCACACAATCCTGAGTTTCAAAAGGCAAATGTCTGCAATTTTCCTGACCTAAAGTCTTTCTGGAACACTTCCAAGGAAAGAAAAGAAAAATCATCTGTGATATGGCTGAATAGGGAGTGAAATTTTAATAAAGACCACGATTTTATATTCTCTCTGAGCGTTACCTATTTACAAGAAGTGTAGAAATTTGTTCATATTCACAGTCTTGAAGGGAAGGAGAAGCTGTTTACATTGAAAACAGAGCTGATTCTGATCCTCTCCTACATCTGTGGTTCTGATTCTAGAGAAGTTTTCAGTATTGGATAGAAGATCTCTGATATTAATTCTTACCCTCCTATCTTGAGCCTCAAGACCTTGTGCTGTGATTTCCAGATATGGGGTGACACCAGTCCTGGAGTTCTTTTATACCAGTGGTTCAAACTTGAGGATGCATCACAGTCACCTGCAAGGCTTGTTAAAATACAAGTTGTTGAGGCCCTTTCCCAAAGTTTGCTATGTAGCAGGTTTTAGACAAGGCCCAAAGAATTTGCATTTCTGTGAAGTTCCCAGATTGTGCTACTGTCAATCTGGGTTCTCTACTTTGAGA